TTCTCCATTTCACAGTTATCCACACGTCATGTCAGCCAACTCTCTAGCTTTTCCTGTCATAGTCCCAACATTCAAAGTTGATACTCTCAGTTCTACACTCTTACCTTTTCTCTTCTCTCTCTGTCTACAAACATGTCTTCCTCCCCTTCTTCTTTGCTGACCAACAGCAGTCCAATTTCCACTAGTACCCTGTTGATCACCAGCACCAATGGCGGTTGTTATTAACCCTGGCCTCGACCGATCTGGCATACTGGAGATCATATTCTTGACTCGCATGTCAGATTTGGCAAATGTTTTACACCAGATGCCCTTCCTGATTCAAACCTCTGCATCAAGAGAAACAAAAAGACCCCTTTCGTGGCTCCGACAACACAGTACACCGTCAAAGATTCAAGCAAACAATCTGGTTTATACAGATTATTATCCTTGTTGCAAAGTCCCAAGCAAATTTCTATGGAAAAATTGAGATTATTTTATTTCTCAAGTTGAAACATTTCACTTTGCTTTCTCAGCCTTTAGAATATTAATTCTCTTCTTTTCCCTCTTCTCAGGTTGAAATCATCAGGACTTTTAACCAACTAGCCTCCTGACGATTTCCAGCTTCTCTCCTGAACCCGCTTCCATCCAAACACGCACCGATAAGTGGGAAATCATGAACTGGGGTGCTCTAGAGGTTCTCCTGAGTGGAGTTAACAAATACTCCACTGTGTTTGGCCGGGTCTGGCTTTCTATGGTGTTCGTCTTCCGGGTCTTGGTGTTTGTGGTAGCAGCTCAGCGGGTGTGGGGAGATGAAAGTAAAGACTTTGTCTGTAACACTAAGCAGCCAGGCTGCACCAACGTTTGCTACGACAGTATCTTCCCCATCTCTCACATCCGCCTGTGGGCCCTGCAGCTCATCTTCGTCACCTGCCCATCGCTCATGGTTGTCGGTCACGTCAAGTACAGGGAGAAGAAGGACATGGAGTACTCTACCTCCCACAAGGGGAAACACTTGTATGCCCATCCTGGAAAGAAACGTGGAGGCCTGTGGTGGACTTACCTGGTAAGAAAGATGGAGTTAGCAAAATTTGGTGTCCTTGATTTGACTTTGACATAAACTAGTGGGGCTTAGCAATTCTGGGGAGAAAAAATCAAAAGTGACACTTGTAGTTATTTATTTTTTCCAAGTTTGACACAAATGCATCCCATTTTACAGGTGAGTTTGATCTTCAAGGCGGGCTTCGATGCTGGCTTTCTCTATGTCCTGTATTATGTCTACGAGGGTTACGACATGCCCCGCCTGAGCAAGTGCAAACTACCGCCTTGCCCCAACACAGTGGACTGCTACATATCCCGGCCCACGGAGAAAAAGATCTTCACGCTCTTCATGGTGGTCTCCTCCGCTGTCTGCATCTTAATGTGCATCTGTGAAATGATTTACCTCATCTTCAAACGTATCAAAAAACTCATTCTAAGAAAGAAGGATCAGGAGATTGA